CAAAAATGTTACCTTATTTTGGTGTTCAAGCGATTGAATGGTATTCTTGAGCAACAATTTGCCCGCTTTTGAGACCATTTTCGGTGCAATCAATGCATTCAATGGACACTCAATTCAAACGACAATCAAATGGCAAACAATGAATGCATTTATGATTTGTTGACTTGTATTGAGTGATAGAGACCTCCATCTGGTGTTGTGTTGGGAAGTGTTGTGTTGTGATTGTCCTCCAGATGTCGTGGCAGTGATCGATAGGTGGGACGACTCGATGGTCGATATGAGTGTGTATTGAGTGAATGGGAAGTATTGGTGGAAATGGCGTCTCAATTGAGTTCCCAAAGTGTGGTCGCGTCCGAAGTGTCCGGCGATGACTCTCTCTATCCCATCGCTGTCCTCATCGATGAGCTCCGCAACGATGACGTCCAGGTCTGTCACCACTTCCACCCCTTCCACACACCCCTCGCCCCCATTGACACCCTCAATGACTCCCTTTTTGTGTCCACAGTTACGGCTCAACTCAATCCGCAAACTGTCGACAATAGCGCTGGCATTGGGTGTGGAGCGGACCCGAACAGAGCTGATCCCCTTCTTGACGGACACCATCTACGACGAGGACGAAGTGCTGCTCGCGTTGGCCGAACAGTTGGGCTCATTCACGCCGCTTATTGGCGGCCAAGAGTTTGTTTACGTACTGTTGCCTCCGCTCGAGTCGTTGGCCACCGTCGAGGAGACAGTCGTGAGAGACAAAGCGGTGGACAGTCTGAGGAATGTCTCGCAACAACACTCGCCGCAAGATTTAGAGCAATACTTTGTTCCTCTCGTTAAGAGATTAGCCTCTGGTTTGTATCAATTGATTGTTATTTCTATGCCTCACATGCTTTATATTTGCCGGTCTTTTGCATTAACTCTTTGATTCAATGCTCAGGCGATTGGTTTACGTCGAGGACCAGTGCCTGCGGGCTCTTCAGTGTCTGTTATCCAAGAGTTTCAAATCAAGTGAAGGCAGACCTTAGAAAGTAAGGGTTATCTCAGATTTATCTTATCTTAAAAGCCATTATGAAATTGAAGTATAATCTCAATCATAAGACTTGAAAAGAAGACAATAAGACAATTAATGAATTGAATGTCTGATTAGTTCATTCCGGCAATTATGTCAAGACGACACCCCAATGGTGAGGAGAGCGGCGGCCGCCAAGTTGGGAGAGTTCGCCAAAGTGTTAGAACCGGAATACGTGAAGTCCGAAGTGATGTCTTTGTGGTCACAACTGGCGTCCGACGAACAGGACTCGGTTCGACTGCTGGCCGTCGAGGCCTGCGTTTCGATCGCTTCTCTTTTGTCCAATGAAGACATTGAACAACACGTTATGCCGGTCTTGAGGTCGGCGGCTGAGGACAAGTCATGGCGCGTGCGATATATGGTGGCCGACAAGTTCACGGAACTGCAGAAGGCTGTCGGGCCGGACATCACTCGCAATGATTTGGTGCCCGCCTTTCAGAACCTTCTGAAAGACTGTGAGGCAGAAGTGAGAGCAGCGGCCGCACAGAAAGTGCGCGACTTCTGCCAAAACCTAACGCCCGCCGACTCTCAGGAACAGCTTATTATGACTAATGTCTTGCCCTGTAATGCATTCTTAATGACATACAATTTATGCATTTATTGACTGTTTTGTCCCCATTTTTATAAAGGTGTGAAAGACTTGGTCTCAGACCCGAACCAACACGTGAAGTCCGCTCTGGCATCTGTTATAATGGGTTTGTCCCCCATTTTGGGCAAACACAACACAATTGAACACTTGTTGCCAATGTTTTTATCACAACTGAAGGACGAATGTCCTGAAGTGAGACTTAATATCATCTCAAACTTGGATTGTGTTAACGAAGTCATTGGAATCCAACAATTGAGTCAATCATTACTGCCGGCGATCGTCGAGTTGGCCGAAGACACTAAATGGCGCGTCCGCTTAGCTATCATCCAATACATGCCATTACTGGCCGGACAACTGGGCGTTGATTTCTTTGATGAGAAACTAAATACATTGTGTATGACTTGGCTCGTAGACCAGGGTATGGCTCACTCCTCACCACCCCTTTGGCACTCCTATTAATGTATTGTTTTGTTAATAGTGTTCGCTATAAGAGAAGCCGCGACTCAAAACCTGAAGAAGTTGGTGGAGAAGTTTGGGTCGGATTGGGCCACCAATACAGTCATTCCCAAAGTGTTGCAGATGTCGAGGGATCAGAACTATTTGCATCGAATGACATGTCTTTTCTCCATCAATGTGTTGGCCAACGCTTGCGGTCCAGAGATTACAACAGTTAGTCCTATTCTTACCATTGATTTGCATTTGTAATTAACTAATGGATTGGCTTTTGTCTGCCGTCACAGAAGTTAATGCTTCCAACAGTTATCAGTTTAGGCGGTGATAGTGTGGCGAACGTTCGTTTCAATGTCGCCAAGACTTTGCAAAAGATTGGACCAATTCTTGATCAGAAGTACATATATCCTATTGATTGATGTAATATAGCGTTAGATCTAACAATTGTTGATTTGCAGTACACTTCAGACCCAAGTGAAGCCATGTTTGGATAAGTTGCAAAAGGACTCCGATGTTGACGTCCGCTATTTCGCTAAAGAAGGTAATCTCTAAGACATGTGTTTACCATTCATTTGTCTAATGAGTGCCTTATTATCTTCTCTCAGCGGTCACTTCACTCGCTTTGTCTGGTTTTATATAAAATAATTTATTCAATAAAACAATTCATTGTCTCAAAACTAAATCAAGTTTTGCTTTTTATTACTTAATTTTGAAGAATTAGTCCAAAATTGCAATTATTTATAAGAATAAAAACAAATCATAAATGGATGTTATTTTAAGTTTATAAGTAATAAACAGTTTTTTCCTTAATTGTTCACAAAATGTAATTATATTTACAATAAATTTTCAATAAATTTAGTAATTAATCAGTGAATTGGATGTTAATGTGAATGACGTGCGGAAATACAGTACTGTTTGGACGACGTGTTGTATGAATGGTATATACACTGTATTTGTGGCCATTTTTATCTGAACAGATCGCCAGTATTGGCAACACTGCAGTCATTGCAGTTGTATTGGTTGTGTTTGTTATATACAATCATATCATATGACCTCTCAGTCTCGATCACATGACCACTTGTGGCACAACTCGTGACTGAACGCCAAACTTGAATTCATGGACCCATTGGTCGATAATAACAGGTTTACCACCACTTCTTCGCTAACCAATTGACTCCCACTCTAACCATTGAAGTGATTGCAGTTCCGCTGAAGACACTAATGAGGAACACGTGACCGGAGACCAGGACGACGACGACGATGACGGTATGTGTCCACTACTGCCCACTTAGCACTTGTACTGACAGTTGTTGTTATTGTTTGTCACGTGTCTGTCATGTGTCTCATCGGCGCCAATGAAGGGGCGATCGATTCAAACGACGAGAACTCGAGGTCCGCCCGAAGCCGCACATCTCAACAGCAAAACGGTATCTCAAAGTTTGCCACAACTTTCACTTCCAGTTGATTCAATTAATCAATGATTATTTGGTGACAGTGTTTGACGGGTCCAGCGGTTCCGTTCAGTACCAGTTCAAGACAGAGAACGGACAGACGGGTCAGTCTCCAGATATGATGTGCACATTAGCCATAATATTAACCATTTGTTTGATTACTTTAAAGGCGCCGTCACTTACCGTGTGGTGACCGTCGATGACTCGCATCCAACGCATACAGGTTTTTAGATTTACATTTTTGTTCAGATTATATGTTAAATTATTGTGTAATCAGTGGTGACCCCAACTATCGTGAGTCCGGCCCAACACAGCTCTGTTGCTCTCCTCACCGGTCCGTTAGCTCTTTGCCTATCATTTCGACGATTGTTTTAATTATGATTTTTGTTTAACGGACAGCACATGCGGGCAATCCTTTTGGCGCAGCGACTCAACAGATCGCCACCAGTGCTGGCAGTGACGGACCCTTCTATGTAATGATGGCTCCGACACAGGACTTGATATCCCACTCATCGTCTAATATCCGAAGAGCCAGTAATTATCTCGCGATTGATATGTTTGTCATTGACTTTATTTGATGCTTAATTTGAATACAGAGAGCGGCGCGGAAGGCGGTGTAGGAGTAGGCGTTCCCCGTGTGGCCAGAGATGAGAAGAGGAGAGCCACTCATAACGAAGTGGAGAGAAGGCGAAGGGATAAGATTAACAATTGGATTATAAAACTGTCGAAAGTAGTTCCGGACTGTTCGCAGGACCACACCAAACAGGTATCACTTGTAATGTTGTCATCACTCTATTACTGTACACATTGTCTCATCTATTTGTTTGACCACTTTTAGGGACAATCAAAGGGCGGAATTCTGGCCAAAGCCACCGAATATATACAGGAGTTGTGCGCAGAAAACGCCCGTTTGAATGAAGTGCTTAAAGAAAATGAGATTTTAAAGTAATTATTGATAATATATTACAATTTCCATATATTTATTACTTTTGGTGAACAACCAGTTTTTGGTTATTTACATTTTAAAATGCCATTTATTTCGATGACATAATGATTATCTGGCATTTAAAAAGAATAACAAATTTCTAATGAAAGCTATTGACTGATACCGTATTAATTGATAAGTTGTGTAAATGATAACAAAACCAATATTAATGAGTTATGTATACATTGATTACTATAGCAATGAATTGGATGCCATTCGCCAACAGTTTGTTGACACTAAGAATGAGAACCGAAGACTGAAAGCACTTTTGCAAAAGTATGACATTCCCGTCGATGACAACTAATATAGATTACCGTATATTATGGTAAATTTAAAGTTGATAATAATAATAAACTATATAAAGTAAAATATAAGTATAAATATATTGTTATTTCGTATAATGGTATCAATTATTGATTAATTAATTTAATTATTATTATTAACAATACTTTATTATAGAATAAAAGACAAGTCTTACTAGACTTTCATTGAATGTTTTGTAGAAATAATTTTTGTTAATAAATTTACGACTGATATTCAATCAATAAAGTTTACCAGTTATTAATGGTATGCAAAATGTGACTGTTATTGGGGTAGGAATCGCCATGATCAGTTTTGCTGATAATTAATTAAGTTACCAATGTATAATTGGAAACAAACATACAATATACAGTAATAGTAATTAATGTGATCACTGGTTATGTAATTCTGTACTTAAATTGTTTTGAGTTAATAAACTGAAAATGATTTTTCTTATAGTAAATAGGTATCACATGAGTTAGACCATGATATTTATTTAATAACAAGCTATAGATTTTAACTGAACGGGTTTGTATCAAATTGTTTGATTTGCCAAATTAGCGAATAATATCAATTCAAATAAAACAATGTTCTCGTAATTAAAGTGATATTTTGAAGCTATTCTAATTTTGATGACAATATTAATCGGGTGGAGAAGAAATAGTTAATCAAATTGATATTACATTTAGACAATTAAACCCAAACACCCATTTATTCTATGCCTTTTCGTTGTCTAACCCCTGACCGCATGGACTGACACTGTGTTTATTAGTTTGCGTATTGTTTAATAATTTAATAACATTAAAATCTATAACTATTATTACATGAGTTTGAGTTATAAAGATATAAATAGAGACCACGAATGCATACGTGAATTGTGGTGCTATTTATTAAATTATAATTTACAAAACGTTATGTTATTATTTAGCCTAAATTTTGCTAAATTATTTGCTTACAAAATAAAATAAGTGCAAAATTGTTGCAAAAGTCAATTGAATTACACATTATTACAGAATTTTATGGTTTTATATACCGGCATATTATATGTTGAGACAGTCATTACATGTCATTATGACTTAAATGATAGCTAACATCACATTGCAGTTAGGGTTGGATTAAAACTATTACACGAACGGCACTAAACTTCAAATTATTTATTGGACACGGAATTTGATACAATAGACAAACATTGTTTTACAATGAAATTGTTGACTAGAAAAACTCTCGTGGTAATATTTTGCAAATTAGACTAGTTGTACTTAATCAATTGCAATATCCCGAGTTTATTAAACGCCTATGTAGGACAATTTACCAAATAGAAAAATCGGACTAAAATATAGGCTTAAACAATAGTCATTTAATTAGTTTTGACCATTGATTAATAATTTAAACAACATTTTTTATTATTAGTCAATTGTTGAAAGCAATGTAATTGCAATTATTATTCCGTATGTAAAAGTTATTAATCATATAATTTTAATGATATAATAAAATGCATAAGATAATAAAATGTAATAATTTAAAAACATAAAACTATATAAGCTTAATTGACCGAAAAATCATATCAGTAATAATTTTCTATGGGAAACAATGGTAAGATTATATGCATAATAAACTAATGAATTATTACTTTATTATTAATGGTTTGCGGACCAGGTTTTTGACATTATGGCCATAAAGTGAATGTGTGCTCAAAATAATGCACATTTCTTCACTTCCTTTCATTCAAACTATTTCTAAATGTGAATCAAATATTCATAACGCGATTGCAAACAAAGTATCGTTATGTTTAGGAGAATCGCATAACTGTAACGCAAGTTTGTCTTTAGCTGTAAAAACCATTATTTGACACAAATTTATTCATTGATGTCATCGATTGTGAGACACAAGTGTCCGGATTTGAGTGCTTTCGAGCGTAACGTCAGTGAATTTAGTCACACATTATAATAATATTTTGATTTCAATGTTAACTAAGCCGTCAAATGTTAAATAAAATCATATTTTATGGATTTCCATATATTTGGTAAAATAATTGTTGGAATATTCTTTGAATATACAACTTTTAAAAAGATTTATGAATATTTTTACAAATATGATTTCTCAAAAAATCATATAATTTAACTAAAAATAAAATACTTTGTGTAATCTTAATGATTAGGAATTGTAATTATAATTTTTTATCTCTCATTAAAACTTTAAGAATTGACAAAATAATAAAAACAAATAAACAAAAGAGAAGACTCGGCAAAGAATTATCCTATATTTGTAGAATACCATACATGTTATGTTTGTTAGTATTAAACCACACAATACGCCAAAACATTGCATTGACATTACGATAATAGTTAGGCACGCAATGCTGTAATACATTGTATAGGGTTTATCTGTCAGGTATACTATTAAATCTTATTTGCTTTTGTGGTAAAGCTTTAAAATGCATGTATAGCTGACAAGTGAGACTTCCACACAACAAAATATTTGCTTGATTTGAGTCTTCAAACTTTTTCACACCTCAATTGTACTATAAATTTGTCATTTTTTATCAGTTGCCAGCGATTGAGACTTAATTTAAAGAGTTAATACATTTGTACATAAAGTGCAGTAAAGGTATTAAAAATCGATACGAAAATTGCTTTCATATAACACTGTCAATCGTCGACAAATGATATTGTAATATTTTTATAAATAAAATGTGTTAATATTTTATATCATAATATATTTAAAGAATTGAAATATGAAAAGCGTTTGAGTGATATATTGACTATAATATACAATTTAGAGTTCATTTATAGATAATTATAGGCATTAAATTGACGGAAACCGGTCTTTCATTTAAACATTTAGCGTTAAATGTGACGAAAAGTGAAACTTATTACGAAATAGTGTTACAGAAGTCATTGAATACTATGTAGAATATTCTGTATGTTTTTATAATAACTTATAAAATATTAATGTGAATGAGTTTTAATGCATAAAAGTAATTGATTTGTTGGTTGAAAGAGATGTGAATAATGTGTGAACTGTGGAAGTGTTTGTTAAGTGATTGTGTGTCCAATGCATAGATGGAAGATGTGTTCGTATGTATGGAAGCGATGAAGTTATCTCTGGTTTACATTCAGTGGAGAGGAGAGAGAGAGGAGAGAGAGAGAGAGAGAGAGAGAGAGAGAGAGCAGAAGAGTGAGAGGAGAGAAGAGAGTGTAGAAAAGGAAAGGAATTGAAGAATTGGTTTGCATTAGTCTTTCTCGAGCCTCTGCTATGTTTGCTCCGCAGTCTTCACAGTCTTGTAATCAAAACATATAATAATAATAAAGTGGTGTTCAATACATCTCTGGTAATAATGGTTTGAGAAGAATGCTATTATTTAAGGGCTTGTCGTGTGATTGGGCTTCAGATGATGTGTCTTCAGAATCGAGTCAACATTCAGAGCACAGAATCAGAATCAGTGAGCAGTCGGACAGTGTGTCGATCATCACATCCGTGGATTCAGTTCAGCCAAAACTCTTGACGTCCACACCATTGGCCACAAACGGCTGCCAAAGGGCTGACCAGATTAGCCGATACTCTGTCGCCAAAGCTATTTATAGTTAATAAATAATAATTAAATAATTATATGTATTATTCAATTGCTTATACTATATAACGAAAGCCGAATTCCTCGTCAATTCTATGTTGTATTCGCACACTTGTTGTCCTCATTGTTGGCCCAATCCATGCCCTAATCCCATGAAATATGACAGTATCTGTTAGACATGGGAGGCGTATATTGAATAAGCCGTTCAACACAGCGCTCCACAAATGGCATCTAATCAGTGCTCCACTCCTTCCGACGGCACAGATGTGTGCCATCACTACAGCACTACTCGTCTGTTTGAGTAGTTGTCTCACTTCCAGCACCGCCACCACCACTGACACCAAACCGCCCGGTCATACGCCCGGCCATACATTACCGCATATGACCGGTAGTGGACAAACGCCAGATCATCATCCGACCAGTTCAGCTGATAACTGGCCCCTGAAGTACCACTACAGCCAGTGGTTACACAAGGAGTTCATCACCAGTGAAATGTCAGACTCTACGTGTGAACCGAACCGAAGGACAGACATCAAACAATGTCAGACTTCAGACACTCCTGATGATCACAACATCAGACATATGAGTGAAATCAATAGTAATGTATTGAGAAACGTGTCCGCAATTAATGAATTATTAAACGGATCATCGCTTCCAACGCTTCCAAAGACGGTGAACACAGTTAATAGTGGAGTGACTACGGAATCGGTGCCACTGCCGGCCACCACAGGCAGTGACACCCGAACCGGCATCTCATCCGTACCTAATATTAAGGACTCATTAATAGTTTCCAACAATCAGTGCCTTTTCCTCGACAGGAAATCGGCCGAAAGTATCTGTGATTCCTCGCAGGGGTCGGTCCGTCTCAGCCTCATGAATAGGTTTCACCTCAAGAATTGTGACCGATATTCCCTACAAAGTGTGCTCCGCTTCGAGACCTGGCAATCGCTTCTCCACAGCTCTGACACCGAACAATGCCAACACATCCTCCAGGAGTTGGTTATGATTGACAATACCGTCGATCGACTTATTTGTCAATACGATTCACTACTCGAGCGCTACGACTGTCAGAACGGCTTTTCCGTCATCTGGACCTGTGATGACTGTCGGGTGAGTTCGCCATCACTTCTACACCATTTCATACACAATCACTACATCCATACACATCATTCTCTCTCTCTCTCTCTCTCTCTCTCTCTCTCCGNTAAATGATATGGTCTTTACCCGACATCCCTCAGCGCTCCCATAAATATACTTCAACCGCCTCCATCTCCATCTCTCTCTCTCTCTCTCTCTCTCATTTACCACTTTTACATTACATGCAATTATTGCTTATAATTATTTTTTAATTAATTTTTTATTCGTTATCTTTATTCTGGTTTATATTTTGATAAATGATCTAAAATAATGCAAACGGAGAGAGAAAGAGATGGTTATTGAGAGTAAAGTTTGTTTATACAGCAGTTTA